CTAGTCTGGAAAGCAGTTCTAAATCTCTCCATAGGGATGGACCGGGAGTTCGACATCACTCCCCAAATGCTGGCCGCCCCGCGATGGCTCAGAAGGGAGCAGGGCAGCCTCCTCTGGGCCCCCAAAGCGCCTTGCCTGGGCCAGGGGTGGCCCCCGAGGGAGGAATCTGTGTGACCACAGGTGAGGGGCGCTGCCGGCACGTACATCCTGGGGACAAAGGGCCGCTAACCGGCGCCCTGTGAAGGACAAGGTCAACACTCTCCATCCGATCAATGAGCTTCGGCCACTCGACAGCGCTGACCTGTTCCCGGATGGGGGCGGGTTTAACGGGATATAAGGAAATGTGCTCAGATTTGCGGATGTTGGTTTACTCATCCCAGTCTAATCTACGTCTGTGCAGATCCCTTGCCACTTGGCCACTAACCAATTCACCTGTTATGGGAAGCACCCTGTCCTGGGGAGCATCAGGCAGGGGAAATGAAGGTCAGAGCATTTCACCCCGAACTATGCCACTTTGGCAGGTTGACTGTTTTGAGTTCAATGCAATTTGAGAAACAGCAGGTGCACAGAGGGCACTCTGACCCCGCTTTTCCTTCCTGAAACAAGGGCATAAGGTGCCGTTCTGGATCGGGCGGAACGGAAACATTCCCATCAGCAGGGGTGTGGCATCAGGATGAGGCAGTCGGCCCAAGCAAACCCTGTGAGACAAACCCTGATCTCTTTCCACCGCCTCTGGAAGCCCTGAGTCTCGTTTGTTGATCGTGTGAAAGGTATAAAAGCGCTCTGCTCTGGTCCCCTCTCCAGGTCTTGGTTCTCTTGTGAAGGTTCCCCTGCGCATGGAAAAGATGAATGAACTTGTGTGCGCTTCCTTTACCCTAATGCTGCGTTAATTCCGGGAACCCAAACAGGGTAGAGGGTTTCTGCTGGCTGCTTCCTTTCTGGATGCACTCTGACCTTGCTGGGGTCACGCTGCAGACCCCGGGATTACTCTCAAATTTACGCCCACGAGGTACATGCAAAAGTCTGTCCTCCTCCGCTTAAAAGCTCGCGCTGGCCATGACGATTGGCACCTCATTAATAAATCCAAACACACTCCGGTGTAACATGCCAGGGAAGGCACAAAACCCGTCCCCTGAACCCCTGGCGCGACGATCCTAAGGGATCTCGGGACCTGGAAGGAGAGGTACCCCGGGGCGTGCCAGGGTGGAGCCATCACCCGCCGGGATGCGAGTGAGGGTGACTTCCGGTCCTGCCAGAGTACTTCTTCCAGGGAACCCTGAGCGGCCAGCTTTCCGCCCGGGCCCGCTCTCTCGGCGGTGAGTGGCGGCCGCCCCGCCCGTCGCACTGCCTGCCGGCTGTCACGGAGGCAGCGGGCGGGGGCCGGTGCCTGGGCGCTGGGGGCGGACCCGGCCCACTTCCGGGGCGGAGCGCGCCGCCGCGCATGCGTAGGCGGTGGCCTGGCTCGGCTCGTCGGCCGGTGGAAGGCGGAAGTGCGCGACCTGCCAGGTTTCCGGCTGCCGGGGCTGCCGCGCGGCTGGGGCGCGATGGAGGGGCGCGGGGCGGCGGGAGACGGCCCGGACGGGCCTCGGGAGCGGCGAGGCCGCGGCGACGAGGCGAGGCCGCAGCAGAACCACCAGGTGCGGCCTGCGCCCGCGGCGGGCCGGCTGCCCAAGCACTCGTACTGGCTGGACCTCTGGCTGTTCGTGCTGGTGGACCTCGTCCTGTTCCTGTTCGTGTACCTGTGGCCGTGGTGAGAGCTGCGAGCGCGGGGCGGCGGGGGCCCAGGCTGCGGAGAGCAGGTGCTCCCTGCGCGCCTGGGCGGGGCCCTGGGGACAGGTGTGCGGGAAGCGGGGATTCCTGCCTCTGTCGGGTGTTTTGGAATCAAACAGCCGGGCCTGTGCTCCTCGCTGCCCGGAGACCCGGCGGGTGATTAGCTTCTCGGCGCTGTTGTCATTATCACCAGAGACCCGGGGAGCCAGGTCACAGGGGTGCAGTGAGGACTGAGTGGCAGTAGCTTATCTGCAGGCGACGTCTGCGTGGCTCCGAAGCCCTCGTCCCTGCCCAGCACCCGGACCCGGCGCGGGCCACGCAGGTGTCTCAGGCCCCAGCTGTCATTTCCCAGGGTTGCCATTTCAGTGGACGTCACCTTCAACCTGGGGCGCGCTCACACACACCCACGCGTCCCGGACACCAGCGGCCTCGTCGCACATTGCCAGGTTCCACTGGCAAACCCGTGCTCCCCGTCCTCATTGCCACGCACCCCGGAGACAGTTCTGACAGCGGAGAAGAGCAGGGAGCCTCCAGAGACGAGCAGAGGGACGCGGACCCCGCCCCCCGCAAGACGCACTGCGGGGCCGGGGGCGGGGGGGCGGGGGGCCGGGGCCGGGGCCGGGCAGGGCAGGAACCAGTGGGGCGAGAAGCTGGGAGCCAAGGAGGCGCCTGTGGAAGACAGACTTTCGCTCAGCTCCTTACACAGGAGACGGCTCCTTGGGCTGAGGGGTGGGGGATTTGTTCACCGCGGTGTTTCTCTCAGCCATCACGCCTATGAGTTGGCACTCTTGATAGGCAATTGCGTCTTCGCTCCCCACCTTTGCCCGAGTTTTGGCAAAGATTTGAGCATCAGCTTGTCTCTGAGGGCCCCTTTGTCTGATTTCTTGGATCTGGCAGGTTAGGAGGGAGAAGAGTGGGGCGAATGGAAGAGCTGGGTATTCGTGAAGGGACAGTTTCCACGCTTCTCCACTTCCCCTCTTTTTCACATACCTGTAGTGATTTTTTTTTTTAACGACCTGAATTTTCAGCTCTGAGTAGAAAACAGAAGGCTTTCGATGAATAGATCAGGCTATTTTTTGCTCTTATCACTATGTTAGTCATGAGGAATAGGCAAGTGACTAAGACAGTCGATTTCAGAGGTTGGCATAAAGTATCATTATGGGAAGGAAGAAACAAGAAACATTGTTGACAAATACTCCTTTTTTACAGATGGACGACCTGAGAGCTACATTAAAATGTTGGCACCTGGACTGGATTCTGAAAATGACTATAACTTCTTGAACAAAGAAGACAGGCAAGATTGTGCAACATAATTTCCAAAACTAAGGGATCTTCCTCTTGTCTTACACATTTGTTACTCATTTGGGGACTATGTTAAATGGGTAATGATCTCACCTATTCATAGCTAAGTTCTTACAACTAGACTCTGATTTGTGTTTTAAAACTTTTTCAGACATCTGATGGCTTTACAGAAGTTGAATTAAAATATTTATACAGAAAGGTTTAGTGTATTCATTAAGAACTACAGTCATGTCTTTAACATTTTAAGGGTTGGCCAGGGTTTAGCATGATGCCAATAATCTGGTGAACTAATTAGGTAAAGCCTCACAAAATAAATTACTCAAAAGCGAGGGAAGGATTTTGAGAAAAGTTGAAAGCTATACAGAAAATGCGGGTCTGTGAAGTACTGGGTGTACGTGGGCCTCCGCCACGGCCGCCAGAGGGCCGCCAGAGCGCCGCGACCTCCGGCGAGGCCTGCGGTTCCCGGTCCCGGGAGGCGGGGCGCAGGTCTTCCCACCCCAGCGCTTCCCCCGCTGCCGTTTAAGCTCTTGAACTCCCTAAAATAGGATGGTGTGTTTCAAAGCTATTTTTTATTATTGGGGTTGCATTAAGAATGCTTGTGACCAAAACATGTTTATTTTGATAATTTCTGTAGCTTCACTATGACATTTCAGCAAAATCAGTATATTTATTCATTCAACTAATATTTGAGCTCTTAGTATCAGCCAGGTAGCTACAGCACTTAGAGTCGCAGTGAAACCTGGGACCGACTTCAGAGGATCTCATCTGTCAGCTCCAAGGTCGACCGGTGTGCCTTCCGGGGACCGTGGCATCTGCCCGAAGAAAATCTTTAGACCAATGTGGGAGCCCCCAGAGGCACAGAACCAGCGTCTCCCGGGGGGTCCCTGGCACTGTGTAAACTGCTGCCGTGGCGCTTGCTAATGATGGTGCCCAGTCAATGCTCACTGCGTAGCTGAGGTCTGGTTTGCACCTGAGGTTGTGACGGGATTAACAGTTCTCACGTAGCTTAAAGTTCAGTCGCACACACAGACTTGCAGTCGCGCTTCCTCGCTGAGCCTCAAATCGGCCCACGGCCGCAGGTGCGGAGCACCCTGAGCGCTTCCAGCACGAGGCGGGGGAGGGGTCTGCATGCTGGGGCACGCGGGTGACCGGCCTGCGCAACGGTGGCCGTGGGAGGGCGGGTCTGGCCACCAGATGCGGAATAGGAAACTGCCCCCCCACCGAACGGCCACCTCAGGTACAGTGGCTGCCACAGTCCCCACCCTGACCCCCTGCCAGCTTTTAGGTTTCCACACTGAAAAACGGGCCACCAAGAAAAGCTGGCAAACTTGCTATGACAGAAACAAAGATGCCAGAAGAATGGTAAATTTTGCAAAAGTGAAATGGCTGTTTTAATAACCATTTGAAATGAACTGGCTGATGAGGGACTGTGAGGGAGTCCGTAGGGGTCGGTTAACCTGAAAGTGCGAGAACGGAAAGGGCCCCAGTGACCAGCCCTGACGTGGCAAGGGACGGCTTTCGGAGTCCCCGGGGCATTCCGGGTCATAAGGGCAGGTGATGCAGAGAGGGCTCGGGGACAAGGGTCCTCACACTATGGCCGATGGGCCGAAGCTGGCTTGCTGCCTCCTTTTATAAGGCCTGTGAACGAAGAATTATTTTTCACCTTAAAATGACTGAAAAGAAGCAAGACTATTCCATGACGTGTGATGCGGTCTCCAGTGTCAATGGCAGAGCTCGCGGGAACTGCGCGTGTGCTTCCGCCCCACGCTGGGCTGGGGCTGCGGGCCGTCTGTCGGAGACGCTGTGACCCGCCCGCCCGCGCGCCCACTGCCTGGCTCCTCGCCCGCCACAGCCCTGCTCTCGCCTCCCCCGGGCAAACGCTTCTCGAGGGGCGACAGTCCCAGCGCCCCTGGACTTTCAGACGGCGCACGTTTATCTTAAAATTCGTAATCCACACAGCAGGGGGCGGCGTGGTGGGGGGAGGAAGCCACAGGTCGTGGATGCCAAGAGAAGTCCAACCGTATCAACTTAAAGATCAGTTTATCAAAAAAAGCTGGAACCAGAGAAACTGATTTCACATGAAAATAGAATATTTGGAAGACAAGTACAAATATTTTGAACATTACAATTGGTTGCATTATTTCAAAAGTTATAATAAACTTGTAACCAGAAGAAAACACCTATAAAAATAAATAGGCGCCCTAAAAATAAAAATTTTACATATGAATTATTAGTTACTAAATAATGCATTCAAACTCTATCTGGAGTGTGGAGGTGAAATACCAACAAACGGCCGGTTTCCAGTCTGTCAGCACTGACAGGATGCAGGAGCCTCACCCGGACGGCGCTTTCAAAAGAGCCCGGATAGGACATGTCTAGTTGATGTCTGCAACTCAGCTGCGAGCTGAAGATACAAATCTAGGATATTGCTGTTAAATACCAGAAATTAGTTGAACCATTTCAAATAATAGATTTGAACTGGACAGCTTGACCAAACAACAACAAAAAACCTACACAAAGTTTTTGAAAGCTATTAAAAATAAAATACTTGAAGGAAGCCCGTTTTCTAGTATTTTACAATGTTATAAAAGCAATATTTATATACACTGACATTTCAAATACAGTTTTACAAAGTTTACAGTTTTTACAAATGTTCCATACTAAAAGTTATGTTAAAAAATAAGCTTTCTAAGAGATTAAATTTAATTCAGTTGATATTCAAGTATTTCTAAACTCAGAGAAGGCGACACTGACGGCTACAGCTAGAAAAGGCCACGAGGGGCTTCTCCTGGCGGCAGGACAGCTGGCCAGGGCGTGGGGACCGCGTCGGGTTAGACTTTTATAAGCACTTCCTTTCCAACAGTCTAGAGTATGTTTAATTGTTTAAATTTTGGAATATTTTAGTGATTTACGGAACTGGCCAAAACATTAAACTTAGTAATTTGTTTATAGAATTATCACATTGTATCTATAAACTTTATCCATTGACAAATGTAAGGGAAATTTGAATTCTTAATTCTCTGGAGTGGACAATACAAGACTAGTCTAAGCCACAATTAGTTTACCAGCTTAGTACAAAATAAAATGACAACTAATGAAATAGGCAATTAAAGTAACATTTTCATCCTTGTCAGGTCATCGTCATAACGGGAAATCCCTTTATTTTATTTAAAAGTAAGGCCCTCTCCATGACGGTGAGGGTAAAGTGACGTTTCATTAAAACTAGACCCTCTCATGAAAGGCAGAGATTTTATCTGGAAACTCAGAAAGGTTTTCAGACTCAGGCCCCGGAACCCAGGCGCCGGCGACACCCTGCAGGCCCGCACCGGCGGGGGCGAGGCGCGCGGGTGCAGCGCGGCTCCCGGAGCCTGGGCCGTTCCCAACACCAGGTGGCAGCCCCGAGTCACCCGGGCCAAAATGAAAACCTTTCACAGTTCACACGAAATTAGAAAAATGTAACACGGCAAATACATAGACTGAAGCACTTGAACTGTTTTAGCTTACCTGGCTGAAGCAACATCTGTGGACACACGCAACAGTCAAGGCCTAATTTTGGTTCACCAGGCATGAAAGTCCTAGGAGCAAAATGAAGTCTCTTCTGTTCAGACCTTGAGAAGGGAATTTTAAAATGTCTTTATCATTAAGGCTTTCCCCCCGGCAAATGTTATCAGGTCCACGGGGTGGTGTTCTCTAAGACACATGGATGGGGCGGCGCCCTCTCGGCAGTCGGGGCGCAGGGCGCCAGTGCCACCTCCTCACGGGTCCTGCTCCAGCTGCACAGGCCACGCCGCCCCGGGCGCATCCCAGCCAGCGGTCTACCGATCCACATGCGCGAGGACAGGTTCGTTTACTCCCTTGGGGGCTATGAACCACAAAATAAAGGGACAACTTCCATTTTTATTCAACTTCAGCGCGAAGCAAGTGAGTAGGCACACCGCTGGCTTTCTCTTTTTCGAGGCATCCCAAGACAATTCGAAGGGGCTTCTAAAACAGCCAGTAAATCGGCTGTCACAAAATAAAAACAGAAAGCGCGTTAAAGGGCGCAGCAGCTGTAAAATGCCAGGCTGCGCGCTGCCTTTTCCGTTGGGCTTGGTCCGTCCACGCCGCCCGAAGGACCGTGAGAGCGCCGCCCCCGGTCACCGGCTGCAGGGCGGCCCGGGTTTGCCTCTCGGCTCCACAGACGGCGCCGCTCCCGGGCCGCCTTCGCCTGGTGATGCTGCGGACTCACGGCAGGAGTCCGCGCGCTCCGGAAGCCAGAGCTTGGGCCGCTGATGGTACTTTAGTCGGTACGTATCCGTCATGCAGCTGTCCACGGAGAAATAGGTGGTCAGCGACACCGGCTCGCTCGCGCAGGGGGGGCTGGCGTCCACTCCTGGGGGGCCCGGCGCGGCGCCCAAGGGGGCTCCGGCGGGAAAGGGCCCCGCGAGCCTGCCGTCCCTCGCACACGTCCTCGCTTCGGAGCCCGGCTCGGAGGCCGAGGCCGCGCCCGGCTGTGGGGCGCCTGAGGATCGGGCTCTGGGCGCCTCGGGCAGCCTGCTCTCGTCCTTCTCCAATGGCGGCGCGCAGGGCAGGGCGCCCTTTTTTGGTGGCAGAGGGGGCGGTGGGTTCTGGCAGAGGGGCTTTGGCATCAGGGCAGCCCGGAGCCCGTGATCCCCACAGACGGAGCCCTCCGCGGGACACAGGGGCGCAGTGTTCCCCGGGGGCGCGGCAGCGGTGCTCCCGGGCGGGGCCGAGGCGTCGCCCCTTCTCCTCCCGGCAGCGGGCCGGCCCTCCGTGGGAAGGAGGGAGGCTGCCCCCTCGGCGTCCCCTGCGCTCAGCCACATGCCATCGCTGTCCAGCTGCGGCTCCTCGGGACGCGGGGCGAGCTCGCTGGCCGCGCGGGCCTTGCGGGCCTGCGGGCTGGACCAAGGGGGTCGCTTTCCGCTGGCGTCGGGCACCGGCGACCTGGAATGTGGGAACAAGGGAGCTGTGGCATGACAGGCAAACGTGCAAAACGGTGGGAAATGCAAATGTCTGTCCTCTCATTTAACCCCCCACGTAGGGCTTGCGTGGTTTTCGTGGCCTAACAGAAATGGAGGACACTTGGAACATCACTGTTTTATGCTGGCTCTAAAATCTTACGGCAGAGCCTGCGCGCGCTTGCCAGAAACCCCTGTCACTGCCAAAATCAGATTCCCAGCATTAGATGTGCGATACTAAAAAGCTAACTTCGACCTACACCACCAGAAATTACATTTATCTGTGATAAAATGCAGCACAGACTTAGGAAGATGTTATCGGCAAACACCTCCAACACCCTGAAACGCTTCCCAACCACCGTGACAGAGTAAAGCCCAGTAAAAGAGGCACTTTAATTTTGACATGGACGGATAGTATAATTTAAAATACGTTAGTCCCTCAAGATCACCTCTGGGTAGTAACTAGCTTGGCAACTGAAGACAGACGATGTCACACTGCAGTCTCTCTTCCTCATCCGCCTGTTCTATCACGCGAGTCACACGGGAGGCACTGAGACCAGAGGGTGGAGGGGGGGCACTTGCTGTGGGGGCGAGAGCCCCGTGCAGGTTCTGGCTCTGCTGCTTCGGGCAAACCAACCTGAGCCCCACTGTTCTCTTTCGTGAAACACCATCTGCCTCAGAAGGACCCGTGAGGCCCGAGGGCCGGCCCCCAGCGCAGGCCCCCAGCGCCGGCGGCGCAGAACCCGCAGACCCGCGGCCCGTGCTCATAACCGCCTTCCTGGTAAACACAGTTCCTCCGATACACGCGTTTAAGAGAAGAGATTTTAACATTTCCAAGTATCTTTGGTTACCTTTTCCCCAAAGGATTTTTTATCTGTAGATGTGATTCTGGGTAGAACTCCTGAGATTTACAGCCTACCTCCAAATTCTTGAATTCTTTTCTAAAACCTGAGGAAGAGAAGGAAAAAAATCCCAAAATTATTTAAATTCTCCCAAGTAACCAACAAACAAAAGTGAATTCTCCAAGACTGACTCTTTATACTGAATGACTGGCTGTTTCCCCAATTTGTTATCACTCGAAAGCGTCAGCAATGCCCAAACAGGGCCGTGCCCCCTGGGCCGCGGGGAGCGTTCGCTGTCACGGGCCACACACTGCGAGGCGGCGGTGGAAGTCCTGCATCTGCAGACAGCGGGCTCGGTCAAAGCCTGGAGCCGCCGCTGGTGGCTGGGGGCCCAAGGAAGCCCCTCGGCCCCGTCCCGCCCCCCCCACCCCGGCTTCCTGTGAGTCCCAGAGGCGGCGCGACTTCCCCTGCCTCACAGGGGGTCCCGCTAGTCGGTCAGTCGCCTGAATCAGCAGGAGGGCGAGGGACCAGCCCCGCCACCCGGCCCCCCCGCCACCACCCATGACTGCTGCCTGAAGCTGTTAGAAGCCTGTAGTGATTATTTTATTTAATCTCTAAACTGAACGCCGTTTTACTCAAAAAGATGACAAACTTTGGTTATTCACATTTTGCTATTTGACAGAGATTTTCTTTAAATTAGAGAAGTGAATATGTGGCTTTGAGAGAATAGCTGGCAATATATGACCAGGGATGACAGTCAAGCTTTGGGGTGAAAATTAGAATTACAATCGTATCCACCACCGTGGGTTCTGCAGCTTCCTGATAATCACAAAGCCTTTTGCTAATATCTGAGGTGGTATTAACAAATGTGGTTTTAAAAATGAAAGTATACATGGATGTAACAAAATCAGGCATGACTAAAGTCAGTCGTTCTTTAAATGAATATTTAAAATTGTAATTTTGAATGCTTAATAGAGCAAATATTGATGATATAACTATAAAAACCAAAGGTCTTTGAGGTCTTCAATATTTTTTAATAGTATAGTGATGTGAGCTTAGAAAGCGTGAAAACCTCTGTTCTCGTTGATGAAGAAATAGCTGTCTTTCTATGCTCTGCCATGGCTACTCCGTGAGACACCTCCCTCTTTACGCCCAGAGAAGGTAGGTGACCTGGCAGTGCTACACGGCGGGTCGGGAACAGCGGTCACGCTGACACAGACTCAGCTCCAAAGCCAGGGCGTCACCGCCCCGCCGAGGCCCGTGCACAAGTACCACTGAAACGCAAGGACCGGCATTTCCGTCCGACGAAGCGAGGCCACTGGTGTAAACATCAAATCACACGATACACCCTGATGTGCTGAGGCTCACAGAGGGTCCCAATGTAGAGGGCGCGAGCTTGAATTTTCCCCTCGTTGCCCATGCTCTGGAGAAGCTAATATGTTTTTCTGCTTCCCCTGACTTTAGATGACCTGTTCATCGTGTTCGTTTATCTCAGTTTCCTCTGATTCTCACGCGCACCAAATCCACGAACTTGAGGATTAAAGAAAACAAAATCAAGGGTATTAAAGCAGAAACTTTATTGGTTACACAACAATCGGGAGTTCCACTGCAGATACCCTTTTTATCCCTAAATTATCTTCTGGGTATATTTTTAAAAACTACCCTGTCACTCAAAATTCAAGTGGAATTCACAGTTGATCAAAACAGCGACATCTTACCCAACCAAGAAAAATCTGTATTTGATTTTGGCCAGACTCTGAGAATCAAATCCTGAAGCAATTTCCAGGAAAGACCTGTATAACAGGCACGGGAACGGAATGCCCATGTATAGGCGATGCTGCCCACACGGTAAACGACGCCGCCCCGCGCGATGGCCGCGGGTTCCCCAGCGAACCCCACCCCGCGAGGCGGCAGCGCGCTCCGCCCTGCGCGCGGCCTGTCCCCTTGGCGCTGCGGCTCCCCAGGGGCGGCCTCGGCGCCGCACGCGGGACTCTCCGTGAAAGTCCGCGGAGGGAAAACTCGGCGGCTGCGTGAGGAGCGCACGGGTTTCCTCCCTTGGTCGCCCGCGCCTCTGTCCGCCCGCTCCCGGCCCCGGGCCCCGGGCCCAGCGGGGCACGAACGGAGACGGATCCTCCACAGCGCCCCCGCCCCGCCCCCGCCCCGGGGCCCGCCTGGGCCACTCTGACAGGACGTCAAGGACCCGAGGCGGCACGGTGCGCCCCGGGGTCCCGCCGCGCTGCCCGGGGCTCGAGAACCGAGCCCCTCTCCCGACAGTAGCTTCATGTTTAAAGAAAGACTGTAATGTCAAAAAGAACCTGGATAATTTTTCCATCTTTAAAGCCTGAAAACGTGTAAGTTTGAGTTACAATATAATTTTCCACCACTCTGATTCTAACTTCAGAATGTTTATTTTTTACCTTAATTCATTACTTTCAAGTTCACGATACGCACAGACTCAAGAAACACCACTTCATTCCTGAGGGGCCTTTTCACTCCCGCTGGCGCCTCCCCTCCGCGGGCAGCAGGGGGCAGCAGCGCTTCCGCGCGGGGGTCTGCAGCTTCAGCGTCCCTACGGCAGGCGTGCGGCCAAGCGGCCCGACTTCAGAGTTCCAACCAACTTAAAAATAGATGTGCTATTTTTCTCTTCTGCTGACACAGACATCCATGTGTCTGCAACGGGAATTTTGGCTCCAGGTTCTTTGCAAACCTAAAATAGGCCGATTTTAACACCTGGCACAGAGATACCGCAATGTCAAGCAGGAAGCTTTAATTAATAATCATGCTAATTTCAACTCCGTATACGAAAATACCCAACGCCCAACAGCCAAGGAAATAAAGTGTACACTTCCTCTGACAAGGGGGCCTGGGTCTGAAACAGACTCACAGGGCACCAAAACCAAGCGGCTGGCAGAGGCCGCGTCCTGACTCGGGCTGCACAAGGAGGTTTCAGAACATGCGACCGCAGTCAGAGCCGCAGCGTGGTTCACGGTCTGATGTGTGACGATAAGGCGCTTCAACACAGTCTGAACACTTTAGAAAAATCGGCCCTGGCTGGTGTGGCTCGGCGGCCTGAGCGCCAGCCTGTGAACCCAAGGGTCGCTGGTTCCATTCCCAGTCAGGGCACAGGCCTGGGCTGCGGGCCAGGTCCCCAGTGAGGGGCACCCGAGAGGCAACCGCACATGGGTGTTTCCCTCTCCTTCTCCCTCCCTTCCCCGCTCTCTAAAAATAAGTAAATAATATCTTGAAAGAAAAAAAAGTCACAAAACTTTTGCTGGATAAATATTTCTGGCTAAATTTACCGTGCAGAAAAGGAGTAGTAGATGCTTTAATAACGCTGTGAGGTAACTTGATTTGGGGGTGATACAAAATAAAAAGACATGAATCAGTATCTTTTCTCACTGGAATTATAATTTGAAGCGAACACAGATAATGCTATTTTGCTACAAGTTAAATTTCAACACCAAAGGTTTACGGTTTTGAAGCACACACAGGTAAACACCTGTGCGGCGCCGGACCACGGCCGCCAAGCAGACCCCGTGGGCGCCCTGCCCCCGACAGCCCGCCACACTCGCAGGCGGTGAGTTCAGCGTTCAGACGGTGAGTTCGCACAGGAGCCAAACCAACTGTTAGAAGTGCCTCCTCCTCTAGATGCACTTTGTAATGCATGTGTTTAAATGAATATACTGCAGTTTCTGTTTAAATGAATATACTGCAGTTTGCAAAAAAAAAGAAAAAAAAATCTTAGAGAAAATATCCAAACTCTGGCACAAGTGCAAACTCTTCCAATAAATGTTTTCATTTACTAATTCTAGGATTTAACAACAGTAAGCGCAGTCCATTTCGCTTCACAAAGTGGAAGCACAGACCCTTGTGCAGGAAGGAATGCAGGGAGGCACCAGGTTCTGAGCACCCACGAGGCCCCACCACTGCCGCCCGCGCCGAGGCCCGGCGCTCAGCTGGCACTGACCTGTCCTCTGCCAGCGCCGGGGGAGCGGCAAGCGCTGTGGGCGGCAAAGCCACGGGCGGGCTGTCTGAGAGCCCCAAGGGCCCCTTTGCCACGCGCTGTGCGCCGTCCGCAGACGTGCCCCCCGCACTGAAGTCAGCGGGCGGGGGGACCAGCGAGGGTGAGGCCCCAGGGACCTCGCACACGCCCGGGGACCTGCCGCGCCCTCGCCGCCCTCCTGAGCCTGTCTGCTACCTCTGTCCCTCCCCCCTCCCCCAAGCCCTGCCCCTCAGTCACCGTCCTGCGCCCCCATCCTCACAGCTCTGTCCCCCTCACCCAGGTGACCCAAAAGCGGAACCGAGCCCTGGCGCCCCTGTCCTCCCCAGGCGCCGCCGCAGAGGTCTGCCCGGACCCTGCGAAACCTGCTTCCTCACTTCTCCTCTCTCTCTCTCTCTCCCACTGCAAAGAACTTTTTATCTGAAAATCATTTCAGCGGACCCTTCACACAGAGTCACCTGTGATGAACATCTCGTCCCACAGTTTTCCGGAGCCATTTGAGAGTAAGACACCCACGACGCGGCCCTTTTCCTCCTGCCCCCTCACTCTTGCTGCTGTTTCCAGGGTCCTCGACGCCCCGTTTGCTGGCTCACCAAGGACCAGCCACCACGCGAACAGCCCCCTTCGCCCCTGCTCCCGCCTCCTCTGTGCGCACCTTCCCTCGTGCTCCCCGCCCCCCCGTCCTGCGATGCCCCTCCCGGTCTTCTCGGCCTCCCCCGCCACCCCAGTGCCTCCCAGCACGGCTTCCCTCTCTCTCTCTGCGAACCCCATGCTCCATCCTCAGCCTGTCTCTGCCCTGAGACCCCCAGTTTTCCTGTGTGATGCGCTGCATGTCTGTCGCTCCATTCCCACGCATGCTGATGACTCCCAAATACATCGTGTGCCCTGAGTGCTGGCCTTTGTTCCCAGCTGCCCCGCAACCGCATGGCCCGGCCCGGGAAGGGGAGTGCACCCCGCAGGCGGGGGCGGGACAGTGGCGAAGCCTGGGGAGAGCCGCGGTGGGCGCTGAAGGTCGTCACACAGCAAACCGCGTCTGCACACGCAGTTGACGCCGCTAAGTGCGAGTGCCTGACAGAAAGCCACAGCAAGACACGCTGCACTCCCTCAGGATGGCAGCGATCAGCAAGCCAGCCAGGAACGCGGGGCGGAGAAAGCGGGGAGGCTGCCCCGCCCCGGTGCCGGGGGTGGGACGGGAGCTGGCGCAGCGGCTGGGACAGCCAGCGCCTCAGGACGTGAGCACGCAGGGGCTACAGGTCCGGCCCCTGCTCCCCGGGCCCCTCCCGAACGAGCTGACGCGGGGACTCTCAGACACTCGCCCCCCAGATTCCACAGTGGCCAAAAGTGGGCCTGCCCCAACATCAGTCGGAGGGCTGGGCGAAGTGCATGCTGTCACCCGACGCAGGAGTGGTCAGCCTTAAAAAGGGGCGGGATTTGGGCACAGGCTACGATGCGGCTGCGCCTTGAAGATGTGACGCTCAGTGAAATAAGCCAGTTGCAGAAACACAAATACTGCCTGATGCCACTTGTCTGAGGCCCCTGACGTCACACCCAGAGTCTGAGAGCACAAGGGTGGTGGCCGGGCCGGGGGTGGGCAGCGAGTGTCTGATGGGGACAGAGCTTCATTGCGAGAGACGATGGTGCCCAGAGACGACGCTGGGGACCGTGAGCGGCTCAGCGCCACCGCCCCGCCCCACAGAAACGACCCGCGTGGCAAACCTCCTGTGCGCTTTGCCACAAGAAAAGCCGCCTCAGGTGGGCTCGCAGCTCTCCCTCGCTGAGCGGGAAGGCGCGCCGCCCCGCCTCCCCCGGCCTCCGCCCCGCAGGAAGCCCCGCTCTGCGGGCCCCCCCCACCCCGTGTGACTGTCCCGCCCCCGCGTGCACCCACGCTCTTCCTGCGGCACTGGCTCACCAGACTCTTATCAGATTGTCAAACAGGCGAGACATTTCATGGGAAAGGAAGGTAATTTCCTTAATAGCAGTGTTTCCTCCTGATATAACACCCTTTGAGGAAAACAAAATAATTTAAAACCACCATATTAAAAGTCTGCAACCAGAACAATCATCTCCACAAAAGCCAGAAGGATGATAAAGACTAAAAACAAACTTTAAAATTTGTTTTTCACGGCATTTTTATTTTGAAAAGTTAAATCCCTTCTAATCCTCTGAATTTTAAAATCTCAACACCGTCCGTGACTTCGGCCTCGGGGACCCCCTTGCCCACAGTCCCCGCGGCCCCTCTCTCTCCCCGGGGGCTGCCCAACAGCCCTCCCCAGCTGTGCGCTCCGACACCGGCTGCCCTTGGCCTCGGGCCGCCTCTCCTTGCTAACCTGTCCCCTGCGATAACGCCGCACCAGTAGCGGCTTTCTCCACACGGCACGTGCCCGCAGGCCGCTCGCCAGCGCCCCCACCCATGGGTCCCCTGCGAGCCGGCCCCCACTCTGTCCAAAGCCGCGCCCGGCCGAGAGGCTGGCTGTGGCCGGCGACAGGCGAGCGGGAGTGCGGGGCCACGTCCGGGCTGAAGTGTGAGAACCGACTCGTGCAGGGCCCCCCGCCCCCCGCCCATTCTGCGCCATCAAGAGGCCTCTGCGCCCACGGAGTCCCGCCAGCTGGGGCCCGCGTGGAGACCAGGAGGAGATGGCCGGACACGCATCATGAACAAAAACCAAGCCTGTGTCAGGACACTGAGGGTCTGAGGTCATAACTGCCATCCAGCCCAGGGACCCCCCCCGCCCCTCCCTGAAAAGAGCCACCCTCCCTCCCAGAGGCTCCCAGCGCACCCAGCTGCCACCCCACCACCAGAGCCCTCCAGCCCAGGGCTGCTCGTAGCTTCTGTCTTACCGCGCCTTCCCCTTTGCAGCCACTGTGACGATGTGCTTACGTGAAACTTTACCTTCTAAGTGGTTTTTACTCTGTTGCGGGGCCAAGTTCACATGGTCTGTGTTTCGGTTGCTTGTCTGAATCTGGTCACTGAAAGAACAAAACACACACCAGGCCCATCACCACGAGGAAGTATCACTCTTGTTTAAGACAAAGAAAGAAAATCCCCTCTGTTCAACAATTACGATATGCCACGTGCTGTTCTAGAGGCTTAATGTACATTTAATTTACATCAATGACATTAAAAAGTTAGCCTCATTTTACAACAGATTAAGGTGGGAAAGTCAAATTAATATCCCAATAATTAAAATCCAAGCCTGCCTGGTTACAAAGTCCTGATCTTTCTACTGCTCTAAGCCATTCCTTTGCACAAAGTGTTATGAACTTACCCTGCCAAGTAAAAAATTTCCCTATTTTAATGAAACACAAGGAGCTGATTTCTGCAAATCCGATTTTTTAATAATGAAGGTGGTAAAACACCAGCTAAGGTCGAATCCAGGTGTTTTAGATGGATCAACAGCATAGTGGCCACTTACTATTATAGTAAGTGAGAAATCAGCCACTTACAAGGCTGCAAATGTTTCAGGGGTGGCGCGCATCAGCGCAAGGCGCCGCTCAGGGCGATATAACACTCCGATTCAACTGAACGCAACTTCGCCTTCTGGCTGCGCGCAGGCATTCACTAAAGGGAACCCGCGCCGGCCCGTAAGCGGCCAGGGCGGCACAGGGCTGGCCCGCGCTGGGCTGCAGAGGCGGCGGCCACGAGCCTTCGGGGGCTGGGAGCTGGGCCATGTGCTAGCAGCTGGCTCAGCGGCAGCCGGCAGGGCTGCTTTAAACCCGGCGCCCGCAGCCACGGCGCAGGCTCAGCCCCACAACGTGTTCCCACGCTTTCAGGCTTCCTCAGCGTAAACGGCCATGGTTTTGTGCAATCGGGAAATAACTATTAAAAATAGAAACCTGAAATAGCAAACAACCTGCAGTGTCCCAGGTTTCGTCACGCTGAGCTCAAGCTCTTCCTACAACACTTAACTGCCCGCAAACGTTGAACATCACCTCCAAGAACTGAGAGAGCCGGGGGCCCCTCCGTACTCCGGCCGGCGCGTTACCTGCGGGAAGCCACGTCACCCGGGCCGCTGGGCTCCGGGCCGCTGCTGCTGCCGCTGCCGTCGGTGACGGGAGAGTCCGGGTTGGCAGACCCGTTGCTGACGTGGTCGCTGCTCTCGTAGCCGGACTCGGCCCTCTGTGCCTGCCAGGCGTCGCCGGGCGCCCCCACTGCTCGGAGGCTGGCCCTGCCCTCCGCGCCCCGCCCGACGCCCTCCGGGGAGCCCCTGCCACCGGCCTCCTGCTTCCGGCTGTCTTCGTAGATGGTCGTGAGGCATCTCTGCTTCGGGTCCCCGTTCGGCTGGTCGGGGAAGTTCTGCTCCTTGCTGCCTGCAGGTCTGTGGCTGGCACCGGATTTGTGTCTCGGACTGTGCTGCCTTCTGTCGCTTTTGCTAAAGACGCTGTCGACATTTAGCGTCTCTCTCAGAGGCTTCCAGCCTCGGCTCCGGCTCCGGCTGCTGCCATTACAGCTGCTCCCTTTCTCCCGGGCGTCCTGGCTGCTGTCGGTGTCGTATCCGGTGACACCCTCGCTCCGGGCTGTGCTGGCCACCTTCTGCCCCGCGGCCGGAGTCGGCCGCTTCCCCGAGCCCGACGGCTGCACGGAAGCACGACTCGGCGGGGCGGGCTGGCACGGCCCCTTCCCGGGCCGCGGGGGCGGGTGTGCGCTGCCCGACGGCCCGACACCACCTGGGGCTGGAGGCGACCCGGGCTTGAAGGGCGGCAGGCCGTCGTCGAGCGGATCTTGACAAAGCACAAGTCAATAAAGACACACATGAACTACTCTCCAGAGCCGCCCGGGCGCAAGCCAGCTACCTTGCTCGAGAAGAAATGTTAGGCAGGAAGAGCAAGGCAGTGACTGTAAGTACTTAAATCATATCAGAGTGTTCTGAGATTAAAAAGTACTTCTTTAGTCCTGTGCTTAATGAGAGGCATTTATAAACTACATAGTTATATATTGATATTTTTAAAAAATGATCTCCAAAGTAGATCCTAAGATGGTTTAAAAAAAAAAACCAAACAGTATTCTATCGCACTCATTAATTATAATCATAAAAATAAAAATAAGAATATTTCCCCCTCTCACACTGGTCGGATTTCAGGAGGGTGCAAAGCAAGCGGCTGCTGGGAGCGTGGGGGGCAACGTTCCGCCGCCACGGGCTGCGGGCGGCCTCGGCGTGGGGAGGCCTCGGGGCCGCAGCGCTCAGACACCAGGCGGGCCGCCCGCGCCAGGGCCCGCCTGCAAGCCTTCCACACCCCGGCCACAGAGCACACCACGCTGCCCGTGAAAGGAGGCCACTGCCGGGGAAACCTGCAATCCACGCCTCACGGCACAGCCTCAGTTAAGGCCTGGCCCGTCCAAAGGAGAAGCGCGCGAACCCGCCAAGGAAGGCGGACGCAGTGACTGGGGGCCCCAGGTCCACGGACGCCACCGGGGAGCCCGACCCGCGGGAAACGAGGCCCCTGCCATTCACGTGCACGAGGACCTCCCTCTCAGTTGAATGCACCATATGGGTGAATTGAAGTTAATTTTAATTAAAAATTAAATAAAGCAACTTTTATTAATTTAACTTTTAATTAAGAAGCTAAAAGAGCATAACAAAGTAATCCAGGTTAGAATTACATTAAGAATGAGGAAAAATTTACATTTATAGACCTAATAGGTATATTAGAGAAGTCATATTAAAATATATAATATATAAACAAATATATTTAAAATTATGTTGAATTAAATGAAAGTCATAAAACTTAGTTCTTAATTAAGACTTTAGCAGCCCCCTTTCCAACAAATGCTCCACACGCATAGCTTACCTCTCGGTCGCCCCAGATCTTTTTTTTGTAAGGAAAGTAAGTTCCTCTGTTCCAAGGCCTTCAGAGCACATTCCCGGGAAATGTCTTTTATTTTTTCCCTCTGATCACTGTAACTTAACTTAACTGTAAAAGAAAAACCATTCTTAGAATTATAAGGCAGGTTGCTTTTCTCATTGCTAAACAAAAAAACAAACTGAATCATATAAAATATTTAAGACGCTATATATTAAAAACAAAATACATATGAAAGTACACAATAAGCTAAGTTTTGTGTTTAACTGAAAAGGCCACGTGATCCCCCCGACACTGGAGATGCCCATCATCCCTTCAAGCCGCTCATGAGGCGCAGAAGGCGAGGGTGGCGGGGAAAACGGGGCTACCCGCCGAGGCCCTGAGGGCCGCAGGCCAGTGCGGCCGCTGTGGTGGCCAGACCCCTGCCTCTCGGAAGCGGTACAGCCGCTCGCCGTTCTGGATCAGGAAACGCAAGCCAAAAGCTTGCCCAGGCTCACGGAAGTTGTAATGTAGATAATAGACCCAAATTGTCTGCTCCCAAAGTTTGTGTTCTTAAAAGTTGCTGGGCTTAAAACTGGGTATCCTTAGAAAAACAGATAATGGCTTAATCCAGCAATTTTCAACCAATGAGCCACAAGAATCTTTAAAACATGCACTAACTACTTAGGGGCACTGACCTCTTTTCTCTAAGATTGTCAAATAAAATATAACAACAGCCAATACAACAATAGCCTCCCAGAGTGAATGTCTGTCTTGAACCATAAATATGTAGGTCATGTAGTAAAGTTGTATCTTATTGGTCATGTTGCATAATAAAGATTGTATCTGGTCAGTTAATTCTTGGTACCACAAATCCTTATATACAAGTATAGGCACCTGATTTTTTTAAAAAGTCAATTTGGAGCAAAAGGGTGGGTAATTACTACTATAATTTTTTTTGTAAGTCAATCAAAATTATACCTATTTTTTTGTCAGATGAGCAAGAAATGTAACTTTTTTGGCATGCCACAGCATTTTAGTAATTACTGTACTTTGCACTCCCGTGTATAATGTGCACCCATGTTTGTGACTCAAACCTTCAGGAAAAAAAATCTTTTGTTTAAATTTTTTAATTACATTTTTTATTTATTTATATTTAGAAACAAAACTGATTATCGTATTCCAGGGTGTCATTTTGCATACAGATATCATTATTGTTTTCTAGAGTTACACGTTTAACACATAAGCATAAATAAAAGAATTAAAAACATTTATAGAGATATGGAATTAGTACTACCCATGTATAATGTGCGTTCTTAGTTGTCCCTCAAAAATTTGGGCAAAATAGTGCGCATTACACACGGCAACATACAGTAGTTTATGTGCGCCATGAGATGAAAAAGGTTGAAAAGGTATTGTTCCGTTAAGATTTTTAAAAAGCATTTATTGTACTTCTTTGTTGATAATCGTTAATTCCAAATCTTACTACCCCTGATATATGATTTCATTAATATATTTAAAAAGTTGCTTACAAAATCATCCTGAACATCCACCCAAGGAGAGTTTAATGCATTTCTAAGTTGTTGCTGCACACCACACCGCGGTGTCTCCCCGTGGACCCCAGTCAGAGAACTTGGTTCGTGACCACTCAGGTTGTGGGCGACAAGAACAAGGGAGCCGAGCACCAACGAGGCCAAGGATGAGCTGCAACAGTGGCTGTGAGCGACTCTGGCGCTCACGGAGGGGAAAGTCAATTTTGGCCCCGCAGCCAAATCTCTAGGTCCCGCCGTCCTCTGCCAGGGGGAAGGACGCCCTGAAGGACATGCCACGGCATGCTGGGGACAGCCCCGTGGGCTCCGGCCTGCGTGGCTCGGAGCGCGTGGACCGCCTGAAACATGGGCAAGTCCAGCTGGCCCGATGAAGCCGAGGCCTTGGAGGCGCGCGCAGCAGAGGGCGAAGCTCTGCTCCCCGCCCGCTCTCGTCTCTGTGGGGCCTCGCGGCATCAGGTCCGGCGCACGGAGCCCGCGCAAGCCTGACTCTCGGGGACCATGTGGAAACGGCAACTTAGCACGTACCTGGTCCTCTGCCACCACTGGTTTGAGTGTGGCTCCGACTAAGTGATGAAATATTATCTGTTTGAAATTTCTGATTTTCTCTCTGTTTGGCCTGGTCACCAAATCCATTTTCTTTTGTATTATCTGACTTATAAATTGAGGGCTTTTCACATCCTTAAAAAGAAAAACAAAAATGCATCATCCCTTTCCTTATCCTATGGAATAGATGTTTGAAGCATCTCTTCATATAGTTTCAATACTGTACATAAAATTACTTAAAAACTTAAGAGACGGACGCCTTCTAGAGATCCCTGCGTGCTTTGCACACGCCCACGCAAGGCCTGGCTGCCGCGGGCTTTCCCCGTGTGCTCGCTCACTCTAACTCCCTGTGCTCACTGTCCCCCCGACGTGGTCCCCTCTGTGCTTGTGTGGCCGCAGTCCAGGCGGCTCCTGACGGTGCTTCTGAGGCCACGGACAAGGAAAGATTACAAAGATGAACTCAATCAAGCACTGGAACTTCCTAAACTCCATCTTCAACTAAACTTTGAAATTATTCTCCACTTTCATTTTATATTCGGTATATTAGTATTCCTAGTGTGATTGTGATGACAGAAAAACATCAAGTTAAAAAAAAATCACCCATGTTTTCTGCGACGGATCTGGGAGGGGACCAGCTGACGACCTGCCGGGGAGCGTCCTCCGTGGAGACGGCCGTGCCCTCGGGGTCTGCGTAGAACAGGAGCAGCGGCTGGAAATGGCAGCGGAGGCACTTGGAGACCACGTCCTTCCACCGGGCGCCAACCTTTGCGAAACCAGAGCAGAGCAAGCCCGTCACCAGTGCGCAGCGCGGAGAGGCAGGGACTGACTGGCCCGCACGTTAAACGGTCTTAGAGACGTCCAGGTGCCAGCAGTGAGGGGTTCCTCGCGTTATGCGACTGGCTATTTTATTTAGTAACTAGTCTCAGTAAAAAGCCTTCAAACACTAACATTTAAAAAATTGATGGGCAAAATCACAGATTCTCTATATCAAGATTTAGATTAGCGAATTTTAGAAAGCGTTTCCCATACGTGGTTGACCAACTTTCGACAAATATTTTAAGGCAATTTAAAGGGAAAATATAAAATTTGATTCAACAAATGATGTCAGAACAAAGGGAAGAAAAAAAAAGGCACGAGCACATATGAAGCCCAAGAATTAACTCAGAAGGGGTCATGCAAAATCCATAGAGTTTACAGAGCAAAACAAAAAAGAGAACCTACCAACAGTGGGAAAGGGTAAGACTAGAGCATCAGGCAAACCAAAGAAAAAAATTATAAAACGGGGCTCATCGAAATGAATTACAACCCTCTTGCTCTATGAAAAACACCATTAAGAAAAGGAAAAAAACAAGCCACATGCATCTAATAAAGGACTGGTGTGTTGAACACAGAATCCCTACAACTCCCTAAGGAGATAATCCATCTGAAAAATGGGCCAAACAGCTGACCAGACGTCACCGAAAGGACCTAAGAATGGCCCGTGAGCACAGGAGAGCTACCCCGCCCGCCACCGACCCCAAGGGAAGGCCAGCGAGACCCGGAGAGGCAGCGCGGGGCCCCAGATGCCGACGTGGCGACGGCCACCACCGCGGGGCGCTGGGGCGGGGCAGCCGTGCCGGAGACCTGGCCGCTGCACACTCTGCGCGGCTCTGGCGAGGCTGCCCTTCCGAGTTTCAGCACGTCGGACAGCTGAGTCCTGAAGCTCGCGGTGACGCGATGTGTGTTCCTTCTGCGCTCCATCTCGCTACCACTCCGAGGGCCATTCGTCTATCTTATTTGGTGAACTGCCCAGACCTTTCACCCGCTTTTAAGTGGATTTGTCTTTTTCCTGCTGAGTTACTTGGACATGGCCGTCGTGAGAGGTGCGCCTGACAAACATTCTCTCCCAGCCCGTGACATGCCTTCACCCTCCCAGCAGCATCGCACGGAAGGGCAGGCGTGTGGGCGAAGTCCACTGGGCGGTTATTTTTATGGTCCCCGCTCGTGGACTGTTATCTAGTAAGTCTCTATATTTAAACACAGGAGTTTTAACATTCTCGTCTGATACTTCCATGTCTAGCATTCTTTGTCTTTTTTTTGGTGATGTGATGCCCCAGCTGGCCCGGGCCTGCCCGTGCAGGTCACCCGGCTCGCCCAGAGCACCGCCAGGGACAGCGCAGCCCCTCTGCCGCAGGGACGCCCTGTGTGTGTGGCACAGCGTCTCTCGGCTCTTGCTGGCGGGACGCGAATGCCCGCCGGCCCCGGATGAGCCCCGGGAATCACCTGTCCTCGTCCTGGCCGGCCGCTGTTCCGTGAAGATGAAGGGGTTGCCCACGCACCCCCAGAACCTTCCCTTCTGAGACTGTGTCACTGACTCTCTGGTAATCTGCCCCGCAAAGTCAGCCACCTTGGCCTGCCTGAACTCCAATTTTGGGTTCCTTCACGCATTTTATATAATTATATCCTTATTTTATCATCATATCACTATATATTAGTATCATTATTATATCGTTTATTCCTAAAAAGTAAAAATCACAATAGCTATTTCAGTCCGTGGAAGCGCCACTTACCTCTTTCACATTTGCGTCGTCAAAAAATACCCACTTGGAACTCTTGGTATGAAAGGCGAAGGCACAATAGTGTCGGCTGGTGTAGCAGATCATGCCAACAAGGTCGAGTTCACTATTTTTGGCATTTTCATCAGTGACCCTATAAAAAAGCTGTTTAAAAAAATTAATAATGTATGTGTAATACAGTATCTTTAAATGAGTTAGCCACCGTTCAATGGCATGCATCTGACTCCCCATAAGACATCTCGCGCGCCCGCTGCCCTACCCCGACGGTGCACCGCGGGAGGGCGCCTCCGGCGCTGCGTCGTTAGCAGAGCGGCGGCTCCTCAGCGCCCACGAGAAGCACGGGCGAACCCGCCAGCTTAGCTCCGCGATGCGGCATCTACCGTCACGCAGAGCTGACACACCACACACGGGACCTCAACACGTGAGAGAAAGCGCACATTTTCTGGTAACTCTTGACCGAATCATATGTTTGAACTACATTAAACATATCACCTAAAAGATAATTCTCTAGAAGTTTAACTGTAACATAAACCAATCCAAAATGTGTAAACCAGCAAAGAAGAGGCCAGCACTGTCCATGGACTTTCCGTCTTTAACTTTCCCGGTTCACACTCGCATCCGTACTCATGGCGCCACCGCCCGGGAGTGACAAGAGACACGGCCTGAGTTCCTGGGAACCCGAGAGCCACTCCGAGCCTGGGCAAGAAAGGCGCCCCGGGCCGTCCGGCTGGGTCAGCGTCAGCGGCTCCATCCGAACACTATTTCCTTGCGAGGGAAAACCTGGTTCTGAGGAACCAAGTGTAATATAATGCGTGAAGGTGTGTCAGAGAAATTTAAAAACAAAGAGGAGAGAATGAAAAGAGCTCAGATACCCCAGGAAGATAAAGATGTGTTGCCAGATTCCGAACAACGTCTTCAGTCAGGTCAGAGTGCTCAGAATCCCAGACTAAACCAATGGTAACAATCTCTGGGCAGTTCATTAAAACACGGCGAATTTTTATTTTTTGGCCACAGTTACTCTAAAAAAAAAAAAAAAAAAAAAAGGGCAGATTTTGAAATTACTGAAACAGATATACCAAAGGTAGTGCCTTACACAGTTTGTAATATGCAGTAATAGTCTTCACATATATTGGAAATTTATCTCTTTAGTATATTAAAATGAACTTCTAACAAACAATTTCTCTTAATTATTGATTCAACAGGAAGTTTATTTTAAATCAAAGTGCTTTTCTTTCATATTTTTGTAAATCTGTTAAAACAAGAATTCAGCCTAAAAATCAGAATTAGAACCCTTGAAATCATTAATAATATTACATCAGCACATAATGATACCATTTGTAAAGTTTAAAGAAAAAAGAAGAAATCAATTTTGTCTTTAGTCAAATGATAAAATTTCGTAATTAAAAAAAATTAACATGTGCTGCCTAAAGCCCTTCACAAAGTTAAGAGTTTTTAAGGAGAGTGCTCAGATAAATAGCTTACATGGTAGAGTTCCCTAAACTACCACTGCAAAAACAAATCTGTAACAGTCACCCCACCGACAACTAACAGCGACACGGTAACGTCCGCGCGCTCCCGGGCCCGCCGGACGTACGGGGCACTTGCGGTAGTCGTCGGCCGTGCTGGCCGCCTGCAGCACCTCGGCGAACGTCTCGGGCCTGCGGCGCTCGTGCCTTCCCAGCGTCCGCTCCACTTCATTGCTGCAAAAGAAAACGTGGTCCCAGGTCTGGCCCAGGAACTTCGAGAAGGTCTGGTAAACCATGGGCAGAAAACACTTAGCTGTCCATGGACATTGGATCACTTTTTTCCATCTTACGACATGATTTTCGGAAAAAAACTTAACCATAAATTTCCATCAACTGAAAGACCATGAAATTTGGCAGGTGTACAATAAAAAATCAGGTCAAAAAGAGAAAATTACACAAAAATTATACCACTGTCCAGAATGACATGAAAAAGGTAAGATGCTCTGGCTAAATGTCCAGGTCAAATTATTCTTTCACATTGTTACTTAAAGTGTTACGTTAATTACGAAGGGACTCAAGTATAAGCTTGGACCCAACAAGAACAGCAACTGCAGGAGAGGCTCCCGCTCCGGCCTAAGGCTCCCAGGACCACAGGCGCCCTGTTCTGCTACGCGAGGGCCCTTTGCTGGCGAGCGTGAGCCCGGCCGAGCCTCTGCCCCCGCTGGGCGTGCCGGCCACTTCCGGGGGCCTCCAGGGCACCGGGCGCACTTCGCCCAGCCTCCCCCGGAGTCCACTCCTTACACGTCTAGGTACTGAGTATCTTTTTACTTTATTTATTTACTTGTTTGTTTGAGAGAGGGGAAGGGAGGGAGAAAGAGAGGAAGCGAAACATCGATGTGAGAGAGAAACAGCCACCGGCTGCCTGTCACACATGCTGGGGGACCAACCCCGCAACGCAGGTGTGTGCCCCAACCAGGATTCAAACTGGTGACCTTTTGCTTTGGGGGATGACACTCAACCGAGCCACACCGGTCAGGAGGGTCTTAAGTATCTTTAACTAAACAAATATTTAAACATTTCCAAAAAGAAACATAATGCACGCTTCAAAGCTCCAACACCCTTTCTAGTTCCCATTCCAGATGTCCGGCTCTACGCCTGGAAGTGCCCTAGAGGGGGCACGCTCTCCAGTGCGAAGGTTCCGACAGCGCACGCAGGGCGCGCGCCCTTGCTCCCGAGGCGCTTCACAAGGGCGCGAGGAAGCGCCGCCGCGGCCGGGCTGTTCCCCCGCCACCAGAGCAGTGGGCAACCAGGCAGACGCTGGATGTGACGTGAAACCAGACCTGGACTCCAATATCAATGGTCCTAGTTACCAGATCAACCCTACTAAACCTATTTCTTCATCAATGAAAGCGTGTCTTTGTTAAGATTAAGGTGACAGCTTACATCAAGCCTGGAACATAGTAAGCAGTCAATAACTGATGTTCAACACCAGTAAGCGTGAACCGATACCAATTCTGACTGGCATTTTGCGCATTTCACCGAACGCTGCAGGAGGCTGGCTAACTCACAAACACCTGACAGAGACGCCGCCGCTCAGCACCGCGGACGGGGGCGGGGCGGCGCGTCCCAGACGGCACAGACGCTCACAGGGCACGGGTCACACAGTGCACGCTCAGTGGGCTGCAAGGCGCCATTCAGTCAGGGTCTTACCACAGGGCTGTTGTTGAAATGTACCGCACAAACTCTGTGAAGGGCAGAGGGTCCGAGGAAGCTCCGCAGCTGCGACACACACACTGCAGTAAAAACAGGCGCTTAATTTCCCAGCCGGGAGCACAGCCACAACGCCTCGGGGGCGGGGCGGCCGCTCACCTGCTCGTACAGAGTCATGGCGAACTTCTGGTGGGCGATGCAGCACTTGGAGGTGCACATGTCTGCGTCCTGGCCTGGCACGATGTGGAAGTGGATCCTCTCCAGGATGTTCTCCTGGTTCAGAAACAAGAAGGCAAGAGAGCTGAGACTCTGGCGGAGGGCGCTTCAGAACACAACTCCACGACCTCACACGTTTAAAAACCTTCTGAAGGTTTCCCGAAGTCTTAGATTTAGGAGTGCCCTGCACGGGGTCAGCTGTCCTACTTAATCATCACTTCAAATCTTGTTCAATTGTTCACTATGGGTGGCACGGGCTTTTAAAAAATTAACAAAAGAAACATTGTAATGTAGTGTATGGTTTTAATAAAGATTTTTAAATCCTTTTAAGAATCATCTCATGGTGGCTGACATCAAGAACCTAATGTTAGAAAACGTAGTTCCCTGTTTCCAGCATTCTCACAATGACAAAAGCTGTAAATCAGGGGAGAAAAAAGTCCTACTTGGATCACGTGGGTCGTCTATGCAACCCGCATCAGCCGTCAGTGATCAATACCAGCGGTAACAGCCCCACTGGCACCCTTAATGCAAGGGGTGTGCTTTGTGACAGGTGCCGAGCCAAAGCTCGGATTTGTAGCGCATTTCAGTGAGGGGTACTTATTTCTTCAACAAATAGCCCTCCTTTCTACCAAAGCTGACATAATGGATCCTTTTAACCAGCCAACTTCCTCCTCCTCCGCCCCAGGACATGTAAAAACGTTCAGCTATTTAAGCCTGGGTTTCTAGACAGCCTATGAGCTATCATATCACATATTGGTGGACTTCATTGAAGTCAGAGTAAACCAGACATTTCAGTATTGTGCCAAACACATTGGTTTACGTTTTAAGCACTGGGTCCATTTTAAAGATGAGAATTAGGAAAAGCCTATTTCATGACTGTGGGTGCTGTTCTGAGACACTGTCACCCGCGTGGCGAGGGTGCTCAGCAGCGACCCTCGTCAAGCCGCTTCACACCTGCCCCAGGACAGCCGGGGGGCTCGGGGAAACCGACCACAGCACAGAAACGCCAAGAGCCCTGCGGAGACGCAGCGGACAGGCGGGGCGTCCGTCGCACCCGGTCTAGCAGGCACCCCAGGCTGAGCCCCAACAGCTGAAGAGGTCAGAAACGCGCTGCCCTGTTTCTGCACCTTGAGCCGAGACTGCGGGAACAGGGATGGAGCATCTCACTGGGAGGGAAATTCAGGGAGGGACCTGGAGTTGACCTCTGAGGCCCAGAATGTCAGGCAGAGGCTGGATTCGAATCACAGAAGGGTCTGAAGAGCAGGCCTTCACCGGAAGGAAAAACAGACTGTCGGGGACAGGCTGACGGGACACCAGGAAGGAGGCCTGAGCAGGGCTGAGTGCGGTGGCCTCCCCCGGGGGACGTGGGGACAGGAAGGCAGACGAGGAAGCCCTCGCAGGGCCCTGACGAAGGGACCGCAGAGCCTGCGGGCTCGATGCAGGGTGACGGGAAGAATCGGTGGCATCTGCGTCACGGCAACATTCCCGCCCTGCTGGGTGAGCACACGCACAGGCCCGGTTGGGGGTGCAGGGCACAGGACACCAGCTTAAGTGATGCTACTTACCTGAATCAACCTTGTCGCTCCCATAAATATGTTTTAAAACACTCCAGTAGCCTAACGCTCGGGGAAACTTGGAACAGCACAGAGGTCCGCGAGCAGAAAGGCCCTGACTCCGCGGAGAGGCCGGACCCTTCTCCCTGCGCCGCCCCCCGCCCCGCCCCCTGCCTCAGGCCCCGGACTGAGCTCTGCGCCCCCGGTGGCGCCCACGGAGGCCCCCGCCGTCCTTACAAAGCACTCGGCCGCGTCGTCCATGAGGCCCAGCTGGAACCTGCGCTCGTCCCTGAAGCTCTCGGCCAGGGCGCGCCGCACGTTGTCCGATGGCAGGGCCTTTTCCCGGCTGTGTTGAAACTGGGCGAACATCGTCTGCGAACCCACAAGCACACCTGTGAGTTCAGTGCCAACAATGGTGGAGGCGCACACAGGTAATCTCACAACAACATGGCGCCAGAAAATGCTACACCTGCAAACTAATGCCAAGCAGTCCTGTCTTTCGCCCTAAAATCCCATGCAAAAAGCCACGTGCAGATGTGGCTGCTGACTCAGCCTCTCCATCGGAAGCCGCGGGCACCACCGCGTTCTCTGGGGCCCCTCCCTGGAGCGCCGTCCCACTGGGGGGCCGAGGTGAGCCCCGTTTTTAAACTGTCCCCAGCTGATTCTGACGCAGGTCTCCGGAAGTTTTTGAGATAAGCTGCTTTGAATCTAAAAGTGTCCTATAGGAGTTAAAATTAGGTTGACCAAAAATAAACGTCTAATCACAGAAAAATCAGTAGGAACTCAGTAGTCTTAAAATGTGTTGATAAAATCTTAATTCAGAGGCATAAACGGTTGCTACCATATGCAGGACTCGCTGCTTCTTCCCGCCTTCGTGTCTCTTTACCCTCCTCCCAGCGGCCGAGAGTGCAGGCCCAGCAGCCCTAGTCCCAGCGGGCGGACGCGCTCGCTGCTCCCCTCACGCGCCCTGACTTTGCCAGCCACTCAAGAAAAGGCTGACGTGTTCGCAAAGGCCCGGGAGCCCTCGGTGACCTGGGCTCTGGCTCCTCCATGACAACGCACGCTTAGTTACTGGACGTGAGCGTTCCTTGGAGCACGAATCTGCCCTGCGCTGGGGTCACTGAGGACCGAGTGCGCCGGGACCCAGGCTCATCCGAGCGCCGCCCACCAACGCCCCGCGGCTGCTGGTCCACCTGCCGGCCGGGACCTCAGGGCCAGCCTGCCGGCCTCACCAGGCGGCACCGCCACCGAGGTGACCGTTCGCCGGACAGAGACAGGTAGGGGCCTCCGCACCTCTGGTCGGAAGCTCCCCACCTGTCTGCAGCCCACTGCCGCCGCACCGCGCCGGACGGGAACGGGTCGGAAGGCCAGCCAGGCTCGGGGACCGGACTCCCCGCTTACGGGAAGAGCAGAGACTCTGCCGGTGCGGTCCAGCCTCCACGACGCAGCTCGGCCAAGCCCCGCGCCCAGCACCCCCCTTGCTCCCAACGAGGCTCAGCCAGGTTTCCCAGGTGGGGTCACCCCCTTACCCCCGTGCCCACCTCGCGGCCTCCGCTGCCCGCACTCTCCGTCCACTCGGGCTCCCTGCCCGGCTCCTAACGTATGTGCCGCTCTTGGCGAGACGTCCCTGCCGCCCAGCTCTGTTCCCCTCCCTGGCCCAGTTTCACCTGCAGTGACGACCACCTGATATGCCTTCTATCCTGCTTGCCTATCTTCTCCTCCCCTAGAAGAATAGAAGCTCCATGCAGACAGGTTTTTATCAGTTTTGTTCATGGCTGTTTCCTTAGTAACCAGAATTCAGTAGTAGCTCAAAAAATACTTGTTAAAATAATTTCAAAATAATGTAAAAGATGATGTTCCTAACAATTGTGTACTATCTAGAATATTAACTGTCCTTACAAGTGAAAAATGAAAGCATAAACCTGAGTAAGTCATACTTTAAAAATTCAGCTTTAAAGCTATAAAGCACTTGACAATGAACTTCCATTACAAATAAGGTAATCAAACATGCCCAATAAATCAAACACACTAACAAGCAGGGTTAAATATCTGGAGAAAGAGGAGTGATTTTCCAGAACTATCAAAGGTTACCTTCAGCGCACAGAATATGCAGGCCTCCCCCTGGCAGACGTGTCCGCTCAGCACCCGCAGGCTCCTTCGGAATATGTCCAGCTGCCATAAGACCTAAAGCACCGCGAGGTGCGGACAAAGGAGGACAGTGAGGCTTCTCTCCTGGTCGGGAGAGACCAAGATGTCTTCCCGGCCACAGAAAGCGAAGGCCCTCTGATCGCCTCGTTGGGCGCGCAGTCGGACAGGCCCGGCCTCGAGACACAGCCGCCGGCCCACACAGCAAGTGCACCTGCAACGCGCGATGCAGATGCGATTCCCGCGTGAAAACCGGGACAAACGCACAGCAAGAAACGGGAGCGCCTCCGGTCAGGGCGGCCCAGGAACAGGAAACGCAGGACTGCTGACAGAGGACGTGGCGGGGACGTGGAGGCGGCAGCGACTGTTCATACCTGGAGCGACGAGGGATTTCGAGAGGAGGTACAACGGGCGTTGCGGCCAGGGAGCAGCCAGCAGGGCCGGCACGGGGTAAGCAAGGGGAAAGGGCGAGCAGAGGCCGGCGGGGACCCCGAAGGAGACGGGGCGCCGCAGCCCCAGGGACGCAGCGGGAGGAAACGGCAGCTAAGAACTAGCTGACAGACACAGCTATTACAGCATGGGTTACAAAATGGTAAAAAGAAGGAATAACCTGAGCATTTTTGCTGCAATTACCCATTCATCATTTTCTACTAAAAGACAAAAACAAATTAAACAAGACTACAGTAGTTTAAATAAATCAGCCTGGTGCCGACAGTCGTCCTGAACGTCCTGCAGCCTCTACCACGGGGACCCCCGGCTGCCCCTGGGCCCTTGCTAGGATGGAGCACCAAGGGCCGGCGCGGAGGAGCGGAGAGCAGCGCCACGCCCAGCCCAGCCCCCAAGGGGCCCCTCCCGTCGGGGGGCACGGGGAGCTCTGAGGGGGAACGGCCGAAGGGTCCCACCGTGGCTATAGCTATAAACTGGGTCTCCGCAAGCCCCGTACAAGAACCACGGGGAACGCTGTGTGACAGCCTGCCGTCGGCCGGCTGCGCCACACCAGCGAGGGAGGACGAGCACACACCTCAGAGCACGAGGGTAAGAACGGCAGGCGGCTTCCCTGCGAAACAGCTCGGGCTAGAAGAAAGAGGGGCAAAATCTTCCAGGCACTGAAAGAGAAAGCGGTCTACACAGACGTCGCCAAGGGAAGACAATATCTTTCAAACACAAGATGAGCCTTGGCCGGGTGGCTCACCTGGCTGGAGTGGCGTCCCATACACCAAAAGGCTGTGGGTTCGAGCCCAGGTTGCGGTGTGTACAGGAGGCAACCAATCAATGTTTCTTTCTCACATGGATGTTTTACTCTTTCTCTCTCTCTAAGCATATTCTCGGGTGAAGATTAAAATTAAACAAACGAAATGAAATCGATCTGTTCCCAGACGCACAGAGGCTGAGAGAACTCGTCACCGACAACCTGTGCTGCGAAAGCCACCACAAGAGGCCCCGCCAGCAGGGCCAGGAGCCGGGGGACGCCGGGCACCGGCGAGGCAGCAGCGCAGGGAGGGGCACAGAGCCTGCGTGGGGAAGGTCGATGCAGCGTTCGTTTAAAAATGATACATTCCTGGAGGAACGCTTCTCCGTTTTCCTCACCATGCGCGCATCCCCACTCAGACCCTTCCTTCGCTACAACACGCTTTCCGCCTCCGCCTCCGCCTCCCTGATGACACGCGCCGCCCCGGCTCACAGCCCGAGTCCGTCCGCAGCGGCCACCCCCAGTCTCCGGGCGGACGAGGCTCCCGCCTCCCGTGTCGCTCCAGGAACACCGGCAGGTCTCACAGCACTTGGTGCAGTGGGGCCTCCCCGCCAGGGCCGAACAGGGGCTGCTGTGCGGGCTCCCAACGTAAGCGAGAGGTCACACTTTCCGAGGGCCAGCGGCTTCCCTTGCCCTGGCGAGCGGCAGAGCTTTCAAGCTGGACACCTGTCCCGGACAGAGGGCGGCTGAGAGCGCACGTCCGAGTCAGAGCGTGGAGCATCCTAGGTGTGTTCATCTAACACATGAGCTCACTGACCAATATTTACCTTCCCACTCTGTTTTCAGGAGGAAAAAAATAGTATTGGAAAATAGGTGAAAAGTAATTTATTTAAAATAAATTCTTCTGCCCTGGCTGGTGTGGCTCAGTGGACTGAGTGCCGACCTGTGAACCAAAGGCTCGCCAGTTCGATTCCCAGTCAGGGCACAGGCCTGGGCTGCAGGCCAGGTCCCCAGTAGGGGGTGCGTGAGAGGCAATCACACATGGATGTTTCTCTCCTCTTCCCCCCTCCCTCCTTCTCTCTCTAAAAATAAATAAATAAATGAAATGAAATAAATTCTTCTAAGGTCTATTCTAGGGTCAACAGAATAACACCCTGATATTCTACATCTTCCTCATCTTTCATAATGGTCAGAAGGACACAGGATCCAACAAAACCTAGAACCAGTGAATAAAACGGTATTAGACATAAGAAAGCAGATTTAACTGAGACAGAAAAGAGGGTTAAGACTTGCTAATTATAAGAATTTCAACCAGGACGGAAGCAGGATGGATTAACCTTCCATCGAAGAAGAACAGCGGGTCCCCGACCGCGGTTCCCGATTGGGAGCCCGCAGTGCGGAGGGAGGCAGGCGGGGGCACTGCGACCAGAACCCGCACTCTCATTTCGCCCCGAAAGCTGGCTGCTTTTTCTGCTGCAATGGGCGCCTCCGGGATGTCTGTTTTCAGAAAGTGTGTGTGTGCGGGGTGGAACAGATTAGCTGATTCAAAACAAGATTATTTTATATATTTTACAAGCATAGTCTTACTTTACTAAGTAATCATTATAAATCAAACGATATTTTTATATCATAGTAATATATGATCCTGTTGGAAGAAAACAATTCCGTTTTGCTATAACCAAAATGCCTAGGCAAAATATTTTTTCCACCATTAAAAGTGATCATAAAAACTCATTCCGGTCAACAGTAACTTTCTTCTTAACGAACAAGTTAAAGGAACCCGAAACAAAGAATTCTCGCAACGCACTGAGTACGACGCGGGCGCAGTAGCCTTACCTGCACGGCACTGTTGAGGAAGCAGCTATTCTGCCCTGGCTCGTTCAGCAGGCCCTTGGTGGGCGCCAGCGACAGCACACTCCCGGGCTGGAACGCCCGGCCCAGGTTGCCGCCCGGCTTCCGCAGGAACCTCACCCACGCCATGCCGCTGCGTCCGCATGGGCGCAGCTCTAGGCTGCCGCGCTGCTTCCGACAGAGCAAGCGATGCCTCGAGCTGCCCCCGGAACCTCACCGCAGTTTGTCGCAAGAGCATAAGCTTCCAAGTCCATATCTTTCCTGAAGCTGTTCACGTTGAGGGCTTTGTCGGGTGAGAACAGGGTACAGAAACATCAAGTTTGGAAAACTACAGAAGAAGGCTACTTGAAACATGGCCTTAAGGATTTTTACGTGTTGAATTTTAAAAGAGATTTGTATAGCTTACAACAAAAAAGATTTTTTTTAAAGTGCTAAAAGTAATGTCGGTGAATAAATCCTTTTCTTTAGAGCACAAGCCATTTGTCTTGTGGCCGTCTGGCCTGATTCCTTTGGCTGCTTGTTTTCGTCACGGTCTTTCCATAAGAAAGTAGGCTCTCTCTTTCTGCGGCGAAGCTGTCAAAGGTGACTCCATATTTCATATCCATGTGACCTCAAAGGAACTCTACAACAAAGAAAAAAATGTTTAAATAAAGGTAAAGGCTAACCAAGAAAACCTCTACTTTACTCTTTGAACCCAAATATTGAATATATATTCTAAATGTTGAATATGTAATCATAAAAGGATTAGAACTAACGTTCTAAAGTATGAAAATGAAAACAGTTTATCATTAAAAAATGTTTAAATATCAATGCGACATCAAACATGGCAGAGAGCAAACTGACAGGTGCCTGTGGAAGGCGCGCAACGAAGGTGAAGGGTGAAGAGGTAGAGGCTTCCAGTTATATACAGTACGTCACAAGGGGCCGACAGCCCAGGGAATAGAATCAATGACAGCGCGCTAACAACCCCATGATAATATCGTGATAACACAGGAGCTCGCAAGCCTGGTCACTGCCCCTACACTATGCAAACAACGCGGCTCCTCCTGGACACCTGCTCTCCTTCTGGAAGTCTGGAAGTTCGGTCCGTCCTGGACCGAGGGTGCCCACGGGACCACCAACAGAAGCTTGGGTCTCTCAGGAGCCTCCTGGTGGAAACACTTTCCATGACATCACAATGCGCTGCTGGAGGAGTGAGACGTTTCCCAAGAGACGCCACTGGGAGAAACCACTGGAGGCTTGTGCCTGGTTCCCACCAAACTTCCCCAATGACCCTTCTCCTTCTCAGTTGCTGACTCCGCCTCACGGCCTCTCTCTGTCACTCAGCAAGGCCATGAGTCCAAGGACACTCCCAGGCAGCACCAGGCAAGAGGGAGGGGTCTGGGAGCCAAACCAGGGCTACTTTGTTTCCACCAAGGGCCCCTCACCAGGACAAGCAACATGGCTGGATGGAGAGATGGACACAGGTATTTCCCTTTATTGTTGACTAATACAAAATGTAACTGCAATCAACTGCTTTTGTGGCTTTACTGAAGCAACCTGGCAACAACTAGTAAAATAAAAAACAAACACACTTCAATCTAAAAAAATAACAAACCCGAAACACCAATATTGACCATCTATGGCCCTAAAATAAAGAGTACTTTATGGAGCTATATTACGTAGGTGCAGTGAAACAGGAAGGAAACAAAATCAATGTCCATAAACAGGAACATAATACAACAGGGTGTTTTTCAGGAACAAAGGCAAAAGGCAGAAATGTAATATCATCCTATTTTGGTAACATAACGTGTGAAAATATACACGTTTTTTATGAGCAGCTGGGCAAGGAGCAGTGTGCGCAGGTCTAATGGAACTGGGGACAGTCAAGTAAGAAAATAAACCTGGGGGAAACTGCTATCAACAGGCACTCCCACGACCTCCTCTGTGGGTCCTGCTGATGTGCCAGCAAGGCTCGCAGAACGCAGGAGGAAGCAGCTTCCTGGCCGTGCTTCAGGTTCATTATGAAAGGCCGTAGCTGGGGCACAGCCTGCTGGCGGGGGCACAAGGCAAGATGCATGGGAAGGGCAGGGAGCCCCGGACCCCACAGACCTGCCGCCCTCCTGTACCCCCACCTCCACGTGCTCGCCACCCCAGACTCACCGGCCCTGAGTGACTGACTCAGTGTCCTCCACCCTCTTCTCCTTGGAGGTGGAGGAAGCTGGAAGTTCACTCCTCTGATCACATGCCGTTCCCCTGGCAACCAGCCCCACGCTGAGGCCACAAGGGAGCCTGGGCACCGGACATCTCATCCACACACTAGAAACATGCATCACTTCCAGAGGCTCCAAGGGCTTCAGGAGCTGCGGGATAGGAGACGGGCCAGGGGCCAAAGGCCTGCTCCTCACAGCCACGCCCGCCAGCCCAGCTGCCCTCCCTGCGCCTCCCCTGGCCTTAGGCTACAGCGCCGCGCCAAACACCCCCGGCAAAATCCGCCCTCCAGCCTCTGGCCGGTTCTGGTTCTCGGCCAGGAGTGCACTGGCCCTGGCCGCCCACACGGCTCCTCCCTTGGTCCCTCCCTGTGGCTTTGCTCAAGAATCAGCTTCTAAAGAGGCCCACGCGTACCTACAATTGCAGCTCAGCGCCACCTCCACTTCCCAACCCCTCTACTGCTCCTTGGCCCTTTCTCCTTGGCATCCGTTCGTCACCAGCGGACGCACGACAGGGGTTCGCTCCCGTGTCTCCTCCCGGTCCTCACAAGACAGAAAGTGAGTTCCGAGTGTCCGGAGCTGCGCACCATACACGGCAGGTCCTCACTGAAGACTCGCTGAATGGAAACTCGGGCCACGAGGCAAATCCTCCGTCCACAAACCCTCTGAGGTGAGCGTTCCTACCAGAGGCGACCCAGGTGCGAAGGGTCCCGCACTGACCCTTCCATCGGGCGGCGAGGTCACGGCCAGTGCGGGCTGGCACAGTGTGGACAGGGTGGTCTCGGGCCCACACAGAAACCCCCGGGGGAGGAAAAATCTTCCAGGACCCAAAGAGCCTGCCTGTCTGAAAACGGGTGGGGCCCGAGTTCATTTTGCAGGCTGAGGAGCTGTGAAGAAGCCAAAGTGTCTGGTGGGCTCCTGGTGGCCCTGCCAAGGGCGGAGCCCACACGCTGACATCGGCTTGGGACGCCCACAGCCGGTGATTCCACCTCGGGAACGTGTCCATGAACACAGCCCATGACTCGGCTCCGCCATCGATCGCCACCGCTGATATAAGAGCGGCTCGCAGAGTTACGGTGAGAATCGTAAACCATGAATGTATAAGGCACCTAACAAATACCCAACACCTACAGGCATTCAGTAAAAGCCAGCAGATGACAATGTCAGCAACGGCACTGTCTTTGATGTAAGATGATTTTTAACAACATGAGCAAACATTTGAATAAAAAGTGCAGCTGTGTTACATGACATTTGCTACCCCATTTGCCATCTTTCTGCAGCTCCTTAACTGATGTTTCATTCTTGACTTCCGCCTTTACCTGTATTCAGTGGGATCAGATAAACTGTACACTAAAACATCAATTTCTAAATTTTAAAATTTGTTCGTAAGTCATTCTTCGTAGCAAACAAGCAATGTCATGCACAGAGAGGTATATACTGCTCTAAGAAAATGTAACATGTGATTCTCCTTTACAAAACGCTGGTTGGGAATGCTTCCCTTCGCGAGTGGATTTACACATGCATTTGCAAACTGGACCAGAGAAGGAGAAGTGAGCTAACACCCAGAAAGCAACTCATCCGAGACCCAGGGTGGCGGCTCTGAAATGGACGCATGAGCAACAGGGAAGATTTAGCTTAAAACAGGTCAGCCGGCGGCAGGGGCCCCATCTGCAGGGGCGGGGGTCCGAAACCACGGGCAGTGGCAAACCCTCCAGATGCCATGTTTTTTCCTGTAATGTACTCACTTAGGATAAAGATTAACTTGTAAATTAGGTACAGTAAAAGACAGTAATAGAAAAATTATATACTGTAAGGAATGCTGTGTGAATGTGCCCCCCTCTCCCTCAGCAAAGAAGCACAAAGTTTTCATTCTTCAGTTTTCACAGAGAGAAGCCTCCTCCTATGCGGAGCTTAGCCCCCTCCGCATCTTCAGCCAAGAAATCCCCCTTTCACTCAAAGGAAGCACGTTCCAGCCTCTCGGGCGCGTCCGAACCGCCAGCGCCACTACTCTCGTGCTGGGGGCCGGCGCCCGGGCACTGTGATCCCAGGACAAGAGGGTGTGATGTCGCAGGTGGCTACTAAGTCGCTAACGGGCGGCGGGCTCCCGCAGCATGGAGATGCTGAGCGAGCGGCGGAGTCACATGGGGACAGCAGCGGACAGTGCAAATGTCGCGCTGCTCACCGCACAGTGCGCAATTACAGCCCATGAACTGTTTATTTCTGGAATTTTCCTTCCAGCATCTGCAGACAGAGGTGGACCGCGGGTAACTGAAACGGGGAAAGTCAAATCGCAGGTAAGCAGGGACTACTGTCCGTAAAGCACTTCCGAAAGATAACTACCAACGCCCTTAGTGATTATTTAAATTCATAGATAACATCATGATCCATCGAGCCACCAGAAGTAAGGAGAGCACCGAAAGTGTTCCTGTGACATCGCTGTCACCGTGTCTGAGTCCCTGAGAACGCTCTCCCTGCCGCACCATGGTCCCCAGGGGGCCACCCAGTTCTCTCCTGACACGTCCGACAACGGTACACGCCATGGTCTCCCTTTACACGGCCCGACATAAACCCTCACAAAGAATGTACAAAGCACGGGGGCTCCCCACGTCTCTGCGTGTCCCAGGGCCTCTCGGCAGCCGGACCATGCCTGTGGGCTCCTCAGAATAATGTCTGTCAATTCTGTTAACGTTCGGCTCTAACCACAGGCGATGGCTTGTCACGGAGCCCAGTTGAAGGACTCCTGATAGAAGATATGGGTTTTTGGAAAAGGCAAAGAGCAAATACTTTTGGCCTAAATATTCTATATATGTCATATCCCGACTATTAAAAATAAAATTCATAAGAACTTGCCAAGATTAGGACTTTATATAACATTATTTAAAGTTGAAGTAATCTTTGAAGATTTTCTTTCTGTTTGTACAGGTTGCATCCATTTCTTACTCCTACTACATGCACATATTGTGATACAAAATTTTCTAAAATTGTATCTGTACAAAATTAATAATGGCATACTAACTTTACATTGTGTCATTACTAGTTTCTTGCTGGCTCTCCAAAGATGACATAAATTAGCACAACACCCCCCCGCCCCGCTCCTTGACCATGAGCTCCCAGGCAACATGAGGCTGGACTGATGATCTTTTGGGCCCTCACATATCTAGCAAACACTGTGTTCAAAATACTTCCAGGTGCAACACATCTGCTACCTTGCTGTAGGTTGTCTTTGGGGTCTATAATTAAGCAGCACCTTATAGTTAAAGCTGTCAAATAACAACATCTGCTAAGTATAAGTAACTAAACCTCTCTGTAGGATAGCTTCATCTACCACTTTATAGATTTCAAACATATTTTTGGAAAATTGCAGGGTGAAGCAACGTCCTCTGTAGAGTGGCAGGTGAGTGAATCCGAAACAGTTCCTGCAAGCAAAATAACTCCGGTTTTGACTTTTAAATGTGTGCATCACCTTAAAATAGATCGGAATTTTCATAGTTTAACTCTATGTCATGCGAAACCATATGATTCCAAAACTATTTCTCGATGCTGCACAGCTTAAAATAAACATTTGACACTAAATAATATAAAAGATCTTGAACCACAGTACATACCAAAATCATAAGAGTTTAGTGATTTTGTTTTTGTTTTTGTTTTTTTAAGGAATAAAAACTAGGTGGAAAAGGGTGCCCCTCCCCCATTAAAGCAGCTATCTTTTTAAAAACTACTTTTAATATTTTTTAGAGAAAATATTAATGGAGTGCCTACTAGTATCAAGTTCCATAAACAGTTTACCATCTCTGTACATTTATAAAAAAATATTTTCTCAAAAATTAATTGGGAAAAAGAAAGGTCTGTTCTTGGGCACTTAATTTTTTACACTGTAAGAAAGAATACACATAACTACCAGTGATTCTAATTTGTGAACAAATCTAAATAAATCACTTTCATGGTTTATGAGCAGTAATCATGAGCCCAGTCAAACTGTCCAAACAGCTAGTTTTAAAATCCTCTAAAATGTAAAACAAAAACAAAAACAAACTTGTTTTTTTTTTCAGGCTATAATTAACTCCTACCTACAGCCAGTTAGTCTGTTTCGAATTCTTATGACAATGGCAGGTAAGTCACAGACAACTTTTGCAAAGTAAGTTTTGTTTGTTTAACTTGTCTTTAACAGGAGGAAGGATCTTTGTCTAGACCATCATCATGGAACTTCAGAGGAAAAAACAAAACCAAACTAACAAGTATCAATGCAGCCAAAAGTTCATTTCAATCAGAACGTTGTGTAAGCATGACTACTCCTTTTAAATACTGAGAATTAGCAAAGCTTTTCTTTAGAAACCAGAGCTAAAAGTGAATCACAGCCTCATCACAAAGAACTTCCTAAATTTACTCTTAAACATCCCTCAGAAAACGGCCTTGAAAATTCATTAAAAAAAAAAAAAAGGAGACCTATTTTTCCCCCCGAGATAAAGCAACATTTGGCAAAACCTGCTGTGTGACACAGAGCCTCGCGGCGCATTTTGCAAGCCTGAATCAGACTGCACTGATAAAGAAAACTTGTAGCGGGATAACAAAATCTCAGACAGCGCTCAGAGTCCAGGCGCCGGGACCCTCCCTACGGTACCTGGGCAGGTACTTCCTGTTCTCCGACGACGTTTGAAACACTTCGGTAAATGTCCCATACGTGAACGTTTAAAAGCTAAACATTAACTTTGTATGTGACTTCTACCACCCAGCAAACACCGGCCCAAACCTTCTCACGGATCCAGACACCTGTCGCCTCCAAAGAGGGCCACAGGGCCCGGCGGACCCCTTTGAGAGCGTGTGCTGGGGGGCCGTGCCTGGGGCACCGGGCAGGCGTCCGCATCCACCGCCCGGAGCGCTCCCGCGGGACTCAGGTCCTCCACGGCCACCCGCCCGCGACCGCCGCAGCGCCACCGCCGCGACCTGGTCCGCGCGGCCCCTCCGGCCCGGCCAAAAACCCGCTTCGGCCCCGGGAGTCGAGGGCGCACGGGGTAGCGGGGCTGGAGCGGGGGTGTCCCGGTCGGGCCCGCTGGGGGCGCAGGTCGCTGGGTGTCCATCCAGGGAGCAATTCCGGAGACGTACCTGCGGTCGACCCTGCCTCTCCCACAGGGCCCCCGCCCGCCGGCCCGGCGCTGCCTCACGCCGTCACCAAGCTGACACGCCGACCGCCGCCACCGTCCCGGAGGCGCGCGGAGAACTGGAGCACTGGCGGCCAGACTCCGCCGCCCAGAGCACGACCCTGCGCACGGAGCATGCGCACACGCCGACACCCCCGGGGCCCGTCCGGGCTGTGACACCTGCGATCAACAGGTCCCGCCGGCCCCGCCCCTCTGGGCCGCGCGCTGGCCCCGCCTCCGCGCGCTGGCCCCGCCCCCACCCTTTCCAGTCAACCCCGCCCCGCCCGGAGTTCCTGGGTCTGGACCTGCCGGGCGGTATTCCCGCGGGGGTTCGATGGGCGCGAGATCCCGCGAGAGCAGGGGCCTGAGCATCTCCCCGAAGGCGGGAGCCGACCGCCGGGTCCCGGGGCAGGGCAAGGTGGCTGGAGGCAGGGCTCCCGGTGCGGCTGCGGGGCGGGGCGCGCTCCTGGGTGCAGGTGATCGTTCCGGGGCCCTCGCCGTTCACTCGGCCTTCTCTAACCGCAGGAAGGCGAGTCCGCCAAGCCCGGGCGTGAGGCCGTGCGGCGGTGCCTGGGAGCAGTGGGTCTCCCTGGCAGCAGACCCTGCAGCTGTCCGTGAGTCGCGACGACCTGTTTGCAGGGATGTGTAGTCCCCACCGGGTTGCTTCGTGACCATTAATAAAATGAAAGCTTTCATAAACGTGTTGACCCAGTTAATGACTGAGTGGTAAGAAACATGTGGCTGCCTCCTTACCGCGCTTCGGACAGGTTTCCAATTACACGCTGCGTGCCGCTTGGGAACTGGGTTAAACCTGCTTTCGTAACAAACTGTTTCTTAGGAATGGTAGTGAAAGAAAAACCCACGGCTGCCTTTAGTATTAGCGATGCCTCGGTAAGTAATAAATAACGTGGTGGGAGCCATTCCAAAGGGGGTGCAGGTAGGCTGTACAGATGGTGACACTGATTTAAGTATTAACTCATAGGTAACTCCAAGGTTATTTGAAGAACTAAGATGGAGAAGCATTTAAGTTGATAGAGCGAATAGTGCTTCGCACTGAATCAACGAGAATTCATTGAGCACTTACTACATTCCCGTTACTGAATTAGGCACCGAAGGAAATTCAGTGAAATTTAAGACATGGTTCCTGCCTTCAAGAGATTTAAAACTTTTGGAAGAGGAGGAGGACAAAAACTCTACATTAAAAATAATAATAATAATAATAATACCATTAACTCCTCTTGGTTCCCCCACTGCCGTTGTCTCCCGGCTCTGGGGCTGCCTGCCTGATGCGTGTTACGTATCCCTCTTCCCTGCTGTGGCCTCTGAGTCCCCAGTGTCTGTGGCTTTGTTGTTTAAAGTCCCTGCTGCCTCCTTGCTCAGTCTCGTCCCCACCAGGGCCCCCCTGGCGGGTGCCCCATGCACCCAGGCCCCCAAACACACAGTCTGTCTTCAGGTTATTAGACCCTTTTAAGCAACAGCATCTTCATTTGGGCTTCACAGAGGCACCTTAAACGGGTCCCACGGGGACACCATTCCCTGCCGTGGACGCTGTGCCTCTTCCCACCCGTCTGAAATGGAACCCATTTTCAGTCCCTACTTCTGAAATCCGCGAGTACCCCTGTATTGCATTTCCTTCCTTCCTCTGCCCTGCTATCAACTTCTGTTGACCCTTATCTCCCTGGGTACCCACACCCGCATCTGTAAATCTCCGCGCTCACTCTCGGCCCGTGAGCGGTCATCACCTCTCCTGACTCACGCCGCCTGCCTTGAACTAACCAGCATCTGAGGGAGGCCAGGCGTGAGCCTCAGCCACAGAGTGCGCGGCTGGGCGGATCTGAAGGCATCGAGAAAGAGACATGGCAGCTTCAAGAGCAGATTTTTTGAATGGGAGTAAACCAGGCTGATGGAGGGGCCATAAGAGGAGGCCTTGGTATGTCCTCAAACAAGATGATTCATTGGGGCCTATGCACAGAAGATCTGTAAAGGAACTGTAGCTATGCAAAAAGAAGAGCTGAACCAGAGGACCCCGGAGAAGTCCTCAGGTCCTGACGGTGACGTGGTCTCCAGAACAACGGAGTCACCGCCTGCCACTCCCTGCCCGCACCCCGCATTCCGACGGCTGGGACGCCCCTCCTCCCGGCTCTGCCCCAGCCTCTCTGGCTGCTGCTCTTCGACCCCCTTTTCCGGTCCAAGCGGTGCTGGGCCCCGGAGCCTGGCCCGGAGCCCCCTCTACCCTCGCAGGTTTAAGTCCCTTTCCCCACAGGAGCCAAGGCAGTCTATTTTGAATATAGACATGTTATCCTCCAACTTAAAATTGTCCGGCGACTTCGCATTTATGTAAAATACAATCCGAACTCTTGCCAGGGCCGCAGACCCCACTCGATCCACCCTCAGCTCCCTAACAGCACCTCGCACTATCCGAAGCTCGGCGCTCTTAATTTCCTACGTCCAGGACAGTGGCTCTCCACTGGGGTGATGTTGTCCTCCAGGGGCATTTGACAAAGGCTAGAAACACTGTCACATTGGGGGTGACACTACTGGTCACGTGTCACTGCTGGTACCCAGTCGGAGAGGCCAGGGTTGTGTTCTAAACGCACTACCGTGGACGGGACCGTCCCCTGCAACAGAATGGACACGGTGCGCCATGTCCGCGGTGCCAAGGTCGGCCTACGGAGCTCCCCCCGGGCTTCCAAGCGGCCGGCCCCTGTTCCCGCTCCACATCCCCGGCTTAACTTCGCCTTCCCAACCGTCTGGAGCCCCCTGCTTACCTCGGACACGCCATCCTGTTGATGCCCCTCATATTTATCACAGCTTGTGGCTGTGGCACTTGTTTGTTTGCTTGCTTGCTCATCGTCTTTCTCACGTTCTGTGAAGAAAATTCCGTGAAGGGCACGTCTCGCTTGATGGTCATTCTGTCTGGCAAGCCCGATACAGTGGCACACGGTAGGAATCCATGGAGTCATTCAGCCCCCGAATTAGCGTCTACAATAGGCCACTGCACGGAAACTTAACAATAAGACCTTGTATTCTTTTTCACTTTTCCTGGAACATTGACTGTGCAGCTCCCCGGAGAGCAGAGTGAGGACACTGGGGAGAAGCAGCCGTGCCCGGCAGCGTCCCTGGAAGGCGGCGGCCCGCGATCCGAGCTCAGGTGCGCGCCACGCCCCTCTGTCCCGTGCAGCTTCTCAGCCAGAGCCGGGAGTGGACCAGGAGTATGGCCAAGTTAGCCGCTGTCTGTTAAATGGTGAAAATCGGTCAGGGAGGGAAGAAGGTAAGGAGCAAAAGTACCCAACAATGAGATAAAAGTATAATATTTTTGATGCTCTTTTAAAAAGTTAGAAAACCTAATTAGTTCATATGCACACATCCTAAAAATGCTCGTAAAAGTGTGCTCAGAAGTGTGGTTAATATACATTTCCTTTCGTTCAACTGAGAAAATACCGATGGTGAACACGTCCTTCCCTGCTTCAGGAACATGTGCAGAGCACACGGCCACAGCGCGGGCACTGCTCCGAGTGGGCGCCTCCCCCTTGGCGGCCACAGTGATTGGTGTGACGCGCCTCGGCCTAAGGAGCACCCTTTCCCAGGGGTTCTCCAATGACAACGGGCAGGAAAGATCCCTGTTTCTCCGACTGCGAAGCTGGGGAGACGTGTGCTCAGGGCTGCCTGTGGCAGTGTCCCTGCCACTGAGCAGCTGGTCTGGAAGAGGAAGGCGAATTTGGGGGAAGAGGAGAGAGGGGTCGCGGCAGGTCCTGTGTCCTCGTATGAAACCGGGGATTCGAGAGTTGTGTTCACTGGGCTCCTCAAAGCTCACAGGGCGGCATGATGCTCTGTAAACAGCAGGAGGTCAAGTTCAACACCCACAGTGTCGCACCAGGCAGCAGGTATTGGTTAACCACGGCAACGGGCTTAACCAGTGGACTCCTTTGTGCTGATGTGCGAGCTGAGGCGATTTCATTGCCCTTCATGTTATTTCACTTGGAAACATTCTAATTTTCTTATCTGTAAAACCAGGACGAGAAATAACACTTATCCCAGATGTCTTTGATTAGGCCCCGGATAAAAGCCGCTGTAAAGTCTGAGGCTGTGTTATTAGGGCCATTAGGGCTGTGCCGGTCGCCACTGCCGTCGGTGATGATGTGCTGCTTTGAGAGCCTGCACGGTGTCTGCCTTCGTGGCGCGTATTTTATTACAATCGCAACGATGCAGGAAGCTCTGGACGTCCCCTGGCCCAGCCTCCCCTCCCCAGAGCATTGTCCCCGCCCCCCGCTCCAGCAGTGGCAGGAGCAGGAGGGATGGAAAACCTGACGCTTCGCCGGGCGGCCTTTTGCTATGTACGATTTCTTGAACTCTTCAGAAATGCTCATGGCGATGAGTTAAATCCACCTCCCAGTAATTTCCACAGACTGGTCTTACTTCTATTCTTCGTACCGTGGAGACCTGTAGTCTCTCTTGCGTAAGACTATTTAACTTTGAAAACATCTCATGTTTTCCAGCTAAAAATACTGTTCTCTCAGTTTTTGAAGGCCTAGAAAATATTAAACTAATCCATTCAACTTCGCCTAATCCTACAAAGGATTTAAAGTGTGGCCTAAGAAACGGAAAGTGAGTGAATTCTCATATACAGTATAAAAGAATGGTCAAATATAAATAAGAAAGCGAATCAGAACCAGGGAAATCAAAATACAAGTAGAACATTAAAACGAGATCAAAAGACCAGATGGATGTAGACACCTGTAGCTTAAAGTTGTTTGGCTCTGATCTGGAATCAGAAGTGCCCCTGCAGGTTAGGTGATCAGTGACAGGAAAGCATGTTTCTGTCAGCACCTGGGACGCGGCTCCCGCCACAGGCCGCATCTCGGGAGGCCGGTATCTGTGCGCCCTCACCAAGGCCTCCTCCGCGGAGCCTGGGACTCGCCGTGCGCTTTTGTTATCAGCTGCGGAAAAAGATGTGGCTGCGAAAATAAAAACAGGTTTTCACAATTCGCCTGATTTATGGTTTGGGGCCGTTATATCCGCCCCTGGTTCAGACACCACGCTTTCATCAGGACAGTTGAAGGTTGTTTTAGCTTATTTTGCAACTCTGTCACTGTGTGGGCCAACGCGAGCTCCCGTGGCCTGCACGTGGCTCTGGGGATTCAGTAAGCAGGAAGGAGCGGTGTGCACGCTAGA